ACTCACTGACAATCCCACTCACTTTAATGGGGCGGCTGGTGATGCGGCAGTGACACCACAAGGTGAGGGACGTGGCGGGCAGCAGGTGAGTGGATGTCCCCTAACAGGTGCTGCCAAGATGGATCTGAAATGACAGGTGCTCTTTAAATGTAAGGACTCATTCTTGCTGGTAGCTAGAATCTTTAATATTATTACTTGCAAACAAAATGAAGGTTTCCTGTTTAGAATAATAAGCTGTCAGGTTAGTAAAACAGCGATATCAGAACCGATTTTAGGTTAATAGGTTAATCACACATGGAGAACTACTCAAATTCTTTTATTTAATTAAAACTCTTAGAACCTGATACAGATGCATTTCTCTTCAAAACATCATACAGTTTGTGATATACGTAGATTTGCAAAACAATGGGATAAAGGAATATTCCTGAAGTTTGTTTTATAATTTATCTCATGGTTATTGTGAAATTGAGCAAATGCGTCAGTGTAGTGCATGTTATCTAAGCTTGCAAAGCTTGGCTTCATTGAATGAATTTACCAAAAATGTAAATATTGCAGAATATACAGCTTCATGCAACATAACTAAGCTCCATTTCATGCTGAATAAACTAAATTATTAATATATCTTAAATAGAAAACTATCTTTAGATAGATTTTTATTCCAAAAGCATTTTATTAAAATAAATTTGATAAATATTAAAAAAAATCCAATTTAAATTTTAAAAATCCTTTTTTTTTTTTTAAATCATTGATTATTATCCACCCTGCCAACAAAGAGAAGGACTAGGGGTAACATGGTAATCTTCTAGTACTTGAGGGGCTGTCACAGAAGAGGGGGTGGTTAACTTGTTCTCCAAAGCACCTGAGGATAGAACAAGAAGTAATGGATGGAAAGTTAATGGAGATCCAACCTAGAATTAAGGCAGAAGTTCCTTTCAGTGAGAATAGTCAGGGGAATGGCAGGACCTGCAGGAGGGTGGGGGTTTTGTGCCATGGAGCTGAGGTGGCTGGCCATAGCTTGGGCTGCCACTGGGCTGGCGTAGAGGCCTGGGGGCAACGGTGGCCAGCTGAGACTGCTAAAAGCCCAGGCCATTGTGCAAGGTGGCCAAAAAGGCAGCGAGGAGGAAGGAGATGGGCAGGTGGGGGGGAGTTGGCTGTAAACGTGGGTAGGCTGTCAAGTACCTGAATTCTGACCCCCTGACCACAAGGGCACTGCAGTGGCCATAATTTGGGGGTCAGGTGTAAGCATTATTCTTTCATGCTGCTGTAATTTCAGATGGTTGCTGAATGGTCATAACTTGAGGACTACCTACAGTAAGCTGTGCTCAGTATCAGAGGCCACGTGTTTGCAGAGTTAAAGTTGGGCTGGCTGTCAGGATGGTTGTGTGCATTTATGGCAAGGAATGTTTGCATTTCTGCTGTGGAATTGCAGGTTATCTCTTTTCTCCTTAGGCCTTTGTTGCCATTGGGGATTACAATGGTCATGTTGGTCTTGGGGTCAAGTGCTCTAAAGAAGTTGCCACTGCCATTCGTGGGGCCATCATCCTGGCGAAACTCTCCATTGTGCCAGTAAGACGAGGCTATTGGGGAAACAAGATTGGCAAGCCTCATACTGTGCCGTGCAAGGTAACGCTTTTGGTTTTGAATAGCAATAGTGCTTAGACTTGTATACCGCTTCACAGTGCTTTAACAGCCCTCTCTAAGCGGTTTACAAAGTCAGCATCTTGCCCTCAACAACCTGGGTCCTCATGAACTACTTTACTATGTGAACCTCTGTTTGGCTTGCATTTGTAGGTGACAGGCCGGTGTGGGTCTGTCCTGGTTCGCCTTATTCCTGCCCCACGTGGCACAGGAATTGTGTCTGCGCCCGTTCCAAAGAAGCTGCTGATGATGGCGGGAATCGATGACTGCTACACCTCGGCCAGGGGCTGCACTGCTACCTTGGGCAATTTTGGTACGTCTTTGGGTATCTGAAGTAAATGGTTGTAATTTGGGAAATGGCAACTTTGTGCCACAGAATTCTTAGCTTATTTATTTAATTTATAGAGCTGCTGATCTCAGTAAATGTGGCTTTGGGTTGGGTATAACCAAGCAAAACAGATATGACAACCATTTAAAACAATTTTAAAGTGCAATTAACAATCTTGCAGGTTTGTCATAGGACCCCCAAAGTTGTTGGAAGAACTGTATTTGTGCTTCGAGTCTGCTTTCTGGACTATTTCTTCTTCTGCCGAACTCTTTGTGGTGCATATGTCATTCTTGCTGGAAGGAAGGTGGCCTAGAGGAACTTGGTGTCACAGTTCTTAGAACTCAAGGGAAGATAGGAGTGCACAACCTAAAATCCCAGAGCTTTATGCATCCTCTAGAACACGGGTGTCAAACTTGCTGCGTCTCGTGATGTATCACAACTTTTTTTGCATTGCCGGAGCTGGGGTGGGCATGGCCTCCGCATGATGCAACCGGCCCATGGGCCGGCAGTTTGACCACCCCTGCTCTAGAACAAGGTTCTCAAAGTTTTTCTGACCATGAAACTTGTTTTAAAATTCCCTGATCAAGAAACAGACAGGACTGGGAAAAATTGGCTGTATTCAACTTACAATAGAGTCCTTGGAACATGGTTTGAAAAACCCTGTTCTAGAATGCCCCCAAACATCCTGAAGTTGGCTTCCAAATAGTAATTGCTCGTATTATGTGTGGAGAAAGTCTTAAATTCAGGAATTGTATTAAGTGTACATGAACAAGTCAAATCTCGTTTTTATTCTGGCTTTTGGAAAACCAGCCCTGGTATATCACTCGGAAAACTGCAGGAGGAGATGAGGTGAACCTAGAGTGGAATGCCGACTGAGCAAAAATAAAGACAATCTCTTGCAGGCTTAATGGCCCCGGCCTCTCTAAAGCAGGGAGAGATGTGGGTAGATTTTGAATGTTGCAGGTTAGTTTTTTTTTATTGAGCAAGAATCTTAAAACCTACCAACTAAATCTAGGTGGAAAGTAGTGGCTTAGAGGGGAAGGGCAAAGATTTGGAATTGAGCCCGCATTGCTTTCAAGATGATTTCTTTCCTTTTAAAACTTATAGATGATCCCTTTTCTAAAGATCAGGAGGAGGTTAAGGTTATATAGCTTCCCACTTCAAAAGACTAGGCAGCTTTCAACATCAAAATATACTATTAAATCAGTATATTTGATGATGTAACAAGAGGAAAAAATGTAAGCCTGAACTAAAAAAACAACCATAAGAATTGAAAAACATGACTAGAGGCTCATGCCACACAAAAGGGCTGTGGGCACTGTCCCTCTTATTAACACTGATTGGAAATGACAGTTGAAGGAGGAGGCAAATCATTGCTACACTCCCGACCCCTGCAGTCAGTCCAGAGAGATATCAGGGTTGATCCCAAAAGCTACTAAGAGCTCAAGGATAGATGTACCTCCTCTAATCTTGGTTCCAGCAAAGGTCAAGTTCAACCAATTCTGTCTCCACAATATACCCTGATCTAAAGCTGATCCAGATAATTTGCTTCCTCCGAGATGATCTGTAGCTGCCATCCAACCTTTTTTTCATAATGGGAAGATTAGAAAATGGAGGGGTTCAGCGATAGTCTATTAAGGAAGGGGATGAATGGAAAACCGCATTTAATTGCCCAATGGGGTGCTACCAATTCAATGTTTTGCCATTTGGACTACAAGGGCCCCCTGCAGTTTTTATGCAATTAATCAACGAGGTACTAAGGGAGCACCTATTTAAGGGGGTCCTGGTTTATCTAGATGACATTTTTATCTTCACTGAATCCAAAGAGGAGCATGTCAACCTAGTCAGAGCGGTTTTAAAGAAACTGCGAGCTGCCCACCTATATGCCAAACTATCAAAATGCGAATTCCACCAGGAAAGGATAAACTACCTAGGTTATCGCATATCCCCACAGGGCATTGAAATGGACCCCGAGAAGGTCAGAGCAGTACTAGAATGGGCACCATCTCGCACAAGGAAGCAGTTGCAAAGTTTCCTGGGTTTCGCAAACTTTTACTGCCAATTCATCCCCTCGTTCGCCCAAATAGCCCTGCCCCTCACGAACTTACTAAAAACAAAGGGAGCATCCTCAGTAAAACCTAGCCAGCCACTAACATGGACAGTGGAGTGCCAAGCGGCATTTGAGAGATTAAAGAGACTTTTTTCTGCTGAACCAGTACTGAGGCACCCAGACATGGATAAGCCCTTCGTAATACAGGCGGATGCAAGTGATGTGGCAGTGGGGGCTGTACTATTACAAGAAAACGATGAAGGGGTATTGCAACCCTGCGCGTATACGTCCAAGAAACTTTTATTAAGAGAAATTGATAGCAGGCATGATAGACAGGATCTGAGGGATTCCCTTACAATTTGATGTTTTAAAGTGTCCCTAAGCAGCCCCCCACCCTGCAGTTCCGGACCGGCAGATTTCTAGGTGTTAACTCCAGGAAAGATAACATCAATCCGGCTCCGTTGGGCACAATCATTCAACATCTCCTCACACAGATCCTGGATGCTGCATCTTTTCTCCCCCTTTCTCTCGCTGGCGGTAAGGAGGAGAAGTTCAGAGGGGCATAGGATGAAAGGCAAATGGTTACATTGTGATGGTTAGCAGACCCCAAGTGAATCAACAAAAGATTACTTTGTAGTGAATAGAGGAAGTGAAAGTAATAAAACCCCCATGCATACCTCCCCTCCCCCTTAGTAGTATGACAGGATCCAGTAGAGAGTAAGAATTGGTTTTATATCAGAGAAGATAGATAGAAAGGAAATATAACTGGATTTTGACAGGTCATCTCTCGGTTGCCTTGACAAACTAAGGGTGGCCAGGATCTAATCTATAGCTGACTAAGGTGACATTTAGTGCTGGCATCTGTTACTTGAACTACTGAGTTTAAGTGGCTGCTCTATGGACTTGTTAAATAAATTGACAAAATCCCAACCCAGCATCCTTATGCGCTGGTGTTTTTGTTCTGTGGAAATGCTCAATTCCAGAACACTCTCAGCTCTGCTCAGTTGCACCTGATTCCAGTGGTGCAGCTGTCGTTTTCGAGAGGGAAAGCAAATGAGTTCAAATTTGCACAGTTGCAGTGGTCTCTGTGTTCCTTATCAAACTCAACAGATTTGAATATATATGAGTGTGCCTTATAAAAAATACAGTGGGTACCGAGGAGACTTCTATTTTTATTTCAGCTAAAGCCACCTTTGATGCTATCTCCAAGACCTACAGTTATCTGACCCCTGATCTCTGGAAAGAAACTGTCTTCACTAAATCTCCTTATCAGGTAAGGAAAATGTGGCATGGGGGTTAGGGAATACTCCCCTCCCCCATCCCCTTTCCTTGGTGAAGCTCAAAGAGACAGAGTCGGAGGCTCCTCTCATTTTATCCTACTAACCCCTGTGAGATAGGAGTGAAGTGCCTGAACAGAATTCCCACTCCTCCTAGGCTGTATTTTATGCAAAAAATAATCTGATGCATCTTTTCCCCTTTCCTACAGGAGTTCACTGATCATCTGGCAAAGACCCACACCACCAGAGTGTCTGTGCAAACAACTCAGGCAGCTGCTGTGGCAACCACCTAAAAGATCCTGTACATCATCAATAAAGTAATCCTTAAATTTTAAACCAATCTAGCACTCACTGTATTTATTCCTTGTGCAGGTTCCTTCATTGGAAGAAATGCTAATGGTCCAAAAATGCATCTTGATTATAAACAATATCCTTGAGATCAAAGGTTATACAGTAAGGAAGTTTTGAGGATCTTCAGGAATTGTGACTGTTTTGCTTGTATTATTTCAGTGGTTGGCAGCAATCTGTTCCCAGGAAGTTTGTAAGGTGTTATGTTTCAGGGGTTATTCCCTGTAGTTAAGGAGCAACCTGCACAACCTATTAACTGGTCAGCTGTTTTCTGGTAGGAAAGAAGAAAGCTAAAGTAAGATTGGCTCTGGTTGAAAATCAGAGCTCCTCTCAAAAAGTTAACAGCAGGTTGCCCCATAAGGCAGTATTGTCCAGTGGGCTTCCAACAGATTCTGAGTTTCCATGTTTGGTCCCGTGTGCCTTTTTGGTTGGACAAACTGCTCAGTGTATTGCAGCGCCAAGTTGGCGTTCCCATTTTCCAGTGTGGCTTAATCTAAAGCCACATTAGAATACATAATTGTATTCTAATGCACAATGATAGCTAGTGTCAGACCTACCCTGGCTTAGATGTTTAGGAAAGAAAGACCCTCAACTCCATTTATCTGAAGTGATAACTTTTGCTAAAGTTAAGCGGTTCCAGCAAAAGTAAAGCAAGATCCGAGTATTCCCATGCAAAGCTTACACTTTTTCCCCTTTGTCCCCCCCTTGACCAGTTCATCAGTGTCCAATAGTATTCCTTTTTGATGTTTTGGGAACTACTTTGAGGTTTGGCGCCCCTCAACGTAGTTTTGCATTCTGTTCCCAGGCCATGTGTCCTTGGCAGCTGGTTTATTCCAGTTTGACACCTGTGGTTCTTGGTCCACCCCCTTTACCTTCACATTCAGTGCCCAAACTTTACCTTTCTCCCCTCCCTTGTGTTTTATGGCAGGATGCCAGCGAAGCGTAGAAGCTGAAGATGGCAGGCCTGACAGCTAGTGTAAGGACCTGCCTCAACTAGATCTCCCAAGAAAGCAGAACTCTTGAAACAGGCATCATTTCAAAAGGAACTTTTATTGAGAGTGATGACAAGAGAGCAAAGCGAGGTCTGAAGATTTGGCGTGCAAAAGAGTACATCAAAAGACAATTCAAAATTCCTTCCCCCCAATGTCCAACCATCTTGTTGAAATCCAGCCAATCCACAGGTGCCAGAGTGTTATGAGAGCCTGGAGATGCTTCGTTTCCCAATGGTCCCAGGCTCTGTTGTCTGGAGATAAGGCAGATGTTTTCAGGTCACATTCCTCTCGCCCAGAGGGAGGGCACCTCGAGTAGAGCAAAGCAAATAATATCCCCCATGCAAGCCCCCTCTCCCAACATTAAGGCAGGCCCCGAAAATACATAGGCAAAAGTAAGAAAGGGAGAAATGAAAGGATTGAAGTCAAAGACATTTGAGGGGTTCTGATATTTGCCCCCCCAATAGAAAGATATCCATCTGCAAAACAACAGGAAGGCAGAAGAGAAATAAAAATACACACGTTAAGTCAGGATTATCTGGATAGCATTCATGGAAGTGTTTGAGCAACCTGGGAGCCCTGACATGTTTTTTATAAACCCATTCATTCTGTGAAGCAGGCAGATCCTCCCAGGCCACCAACTACTGTGTGGACCTCTGATGTTTACGTGAGTCTAAAATATCTTTAATCTCAGTGTTGCTCTTCCTCTACCATATTTTAGGAGCTGGAATGGAAACAGGTCGTAGTTTAGAGGTGACCTCAGGTTTCAACAAGCTACAGTGGAAAACTGGGTGGGTTTGTCTCAAACTCTTAGGAAGTTCTAGCTCCACTGTAGCAGGATTAATAATGCATTTAATGGGAAACGGACCAATGTATTTAGGCTCCAGCTTTTTTAATGGCTGTAGTGACTGTAAAAATCTAGTGGAAAAGTAAACTTTGTTTCCTACATGGAAAGGTTTAGGCTGCTTTCTCTTTTTGTCAGCGTGTGCCTTATAAGCTTCCCTAGTTTTAACCAAAGCTTTCCTAACTACTGGCCAGATGTTCTGCAATTGACGAACCCACTCCTTAAGGGAAGGAATAGCAGGTTTGTTGGCAGGCAATTCAGGCACAGGAAGGAAACTGTTCATTAGCTACTTGGAAAGGAGTGAACCCAGTGCTGGAGTGCACTGCATTGTTGTAAGACACTTCAGCAAATGGCAATCGATCCGTCCAGGGTCCCAGGTTTCCCAACTAAGTTCGGACTTACCAGGTACTGTGGGCCTGGGATTGTCAGTTCCATGGGTTAGGGTTACAGGGTCAGTCGGCCCACTTACAAATGGATCATCATTGTACTCGCTCTATGACACCCCCGACTTGTCATCCGGTGGGTCGGAGCTCTTCCCCCCCCCCCCCCCGCCTTTGGGGCTCGGGGGAGCTCCACGACCTCTGGGCTTCAGGGCTGTGTCTTTTGAACTCTGGGTGGACTTGCTTGGTTTCTCCCCAGAGGGACAATGCCCTTGCCGCACTTGAAGCAGGCTGTGGAACATTGGATTGCAGAGGTTTTGCTGGCCTCTCCCCTTCTCTCAGGCTGGCTTTGTCTCCCCAACTTCACGGGATGGTACAGGTTACGGGTCTGGTCAATTTCCACCTCTTCAGCTAGAAGAGACACCATTTGTGCTCCACAAGCCACACATCCGTTGTACAGTTCGTTGTTCAGCCCATCCTGGAAACAGCTTATCGGGATGTCTTCAGGCCAGTTCAGGCAGAAAGCCAAGTCTCAAAACTCCTCAGTATACTCGGCTACCAGATGACACTCGTTTTACGGTTTTTATGCGATCCCTAGCTTTCCAGTCTGCCAGGCGGTCTTCAAAATGGCATCTCAGTGCGGTCATGAAGTGGTTCAGCGTAGGGCTTTGCATTCCAAATTAAATTCATTTTAAGTGTGTTGTATAAAGCCTGAGCAATAGGATGTGCAAAATCTGTGAATAGAGCAGTGAGTTTCAGGGGGTCTGCTTAGGGCCAAAAATGTGCATGCTCCAGGGTGTGAGACCCGAACGAGAGAAGTGGTAGGAATAGCTTGAGAGGTTTTTTTTACTTATCAAACTGATCCATTGAACCCCCCCCCCCCCCCCCAACTCCAGCCCTCTCGCTTGAGGCCTTCAACAAGATACTAGACCAGGGGTAGGCAACCCAAAACACTGAAAGAGCCACTTGGACACGTTTCCCACCGAAAACAAAACAGTGGGAGCCGCAAAACCCTTTTGATATCTAAAATGAAGATAACACTGCATATATCCTTTTTTTACCTTTATTATAGGTATGTGTGTGTGTGTATGTTTGTGTGTGTATATATAAAATAAAGGTAAAAACGGATATATGCAGTGTTATCTTCATTTTAGATGTCAAAAGGGTCTCTCCTCTCTCTTTCTCTTCTCTTTCTCTTTCCTCTTTCTTTCCTCTAACTTTCTCTCTCTTTCCTCTCTTTTTGTCTCTCTCTTTCCTCTTTCTCTTTCCTTTCTCTCTTTCCTCTTTCTTTCTAAAACACTGGGAGCCGCAAAACCCTTTTGATATCTAAAATGAAGATAACACTGTATGTATCCTTTTTTACCTTTATTATAGGTATGTGTGTGTGTATGTTTGTGTGTATATTTAAAATAAAGGTAAAAATGCAGTGTTATCTTCATTTTAGATGTCAAAAGGGTCTCTCTTTCCTCTCTCTCTTTCTCTTCTCTTTCTCTCTTTCCTCTAACTTTCTCTTTCTGTCTCTCTCTTTCTCTTTCCTTTCTCTCTTTCTCTTTCCTCTAACTTTCTCTCTTTCCTCTTTCCTTTCTCTTTCCTCTCTCTTTCCTTTATTTCCTTTTTCTCTTCTCTTTCCTCTTTCTTTCCTCTCTCTTTTCTCAATCTTTTTTCTTTCCTCTTTTTCTCTCTTTCCTCTCCCCCTCGCTTTCTTTCTCTTTCCTCTCCTTTCTCTCCCCCTTTCCTCTTTTTCTCTTTCCTCTTTTCTTTCTTTCCTCTCCCTTTCCTCTCTTTCTCTTTCTCTCTTTCCTCTCTTTCTCTTTCCTTTCTCTCTCAATCTTTTTTCTCTTTTCTCTTTTTCTCTTTCCTCTCCCTCTTGCTTTATTTCTCTTTCTTTTCTCTCCCTTTCCTCTCCCTTTCTCTCTTTCCTTTTTCTTTCTTTCCTCTAACTTTCTCTTTCCTCTCTTTCTGTCTCTCTTTCCTTTCTCTCTTTCCTCTTTCTCTCTTTCCTCTTTCTCTCTTTCTTTCCTCTGTCTCTTTCCTCTCTCTTTCTCTCCTCTTTCCTCTCTCTCTTTCCTCAATCTTTTTTCTCTTTCCTCTTTTTCTCTTTCCTCTCCCTCTCTTTCCCTCTTTCCTCTCTTTTTCTCTTTCCTCTCCCCCTCTTTCTCTCTCTCCTCTCCCTCTTTCTCTCCCTTTCTTTCTCTTTCCTCTCCCCCTCTCTTTCCCGCTCCCCATCTTTCTCTTTCCTCTCCCTCTCCCTTTCTTTCTTTCTCTTGCCTCTCC